TTATTAACACAACAACAACAACAAAAGCAGCAGCAGCAGCAACAGCAACGAAAACAACAAACAATTTTACATTTTTGCTTAATTACACACAAGTCGCAGCACTGTCTATGCCCTAAGCCTCCATCCCTCCTGCCCTTCCTCTAAATCCTTGCCAAAAATTCCCAAATTCCCGTTTCACTGTCTCGCTTTGACTTTGCCAGCCAAAAAATGAGCTGCGTTACTGCTGCTCCTGCTGACCCTCGTTTTCCCCCTCCTCCTCCTCTTCTCTCTTCCACTCTCTTTGCTGGTCTCCATTTTGTGTCCATGTCAAATATTTGCACAAAGTCCAAGCAACTCTCTTCGCCCTCTCTCGCTCGCACGCTCTCTTTTACCGTTACCCTTTTGCAGCTCATCCGTAGGACGTAGCTTATCATTGACAAAAAGCGCAGCGCAGGCGGCGAAGCAGGAGGCGGCGAACTGGTTTTCGGGGTTCACTGACTGTCAACATGGCTGGCGCCCTTTTTCGCCGTAGATCCGACTGCCACACTCACTCTCTCCGCCCCCACGCCTTCAACCGCGCTGCCAACTTGCACTTTTTGCTCGAGCGTTGCCAGACAACGCACAGTCAGCGTAAATTTTCGTTGCAGAAAAAAAAAACAGATGTGGGAAAAAGTGGAAGGCAAAGAAATCATTTTAAATGCGGCTTAAAATTATCTTTGATAAGCGCGGCGCAATGCTGCTTACTGCTGAGTAATTTATAGGCAAACGCTTTTGCGCCTACTCAAGAGGTCCTTGAGATCAAAGTCCTTGTCATCGTCATCGTCGTCGCCGCAGTCGAAGTTGGTTAGGGTCAAAGTTTAAGCGGCTTACCGAAAGCTTATTTAGCAAAGGCAGACAAAATAAATTGTCGCTGTGAACGGGACGGGGGTTGGGGGGCTCATTAGTGTTAAAGGTAAACTAATTGGACAAAAGTAAATGTCCATAGTCATGCACTAGGATAATAAAGAGGTACTTATCGGGCATTTGCTTAAATATGAGAAAAAGTGCATATTATTTCAATTATGCTGAAAAGCTCTTATATTCCATTTATGAGTGATTAAAAGATCGTGTAGTCCAATTTGGACTGTCCAAATAATATTTCCATATTACTCTTATATTGCATGAAAGAGTGATAATCAACCGCAACCTCATCACTGCCTCTCTTTAAGTGCACCAAATCTACATTTAAAGCTTTTAAGCAAGTTGCTCCATTGATTTGCAATTTCTCTCTTCTCCTTCCGCTCCTCTTCCTCTCTTCGCTCATGGCTTTCAAGTTCACTTACAAATTGATATTATGAAGCATGCGTCCCAATAATAAAGAGCAAAAAAAATGTAGAAACAGACACAAAACAAAATCAGAAGAATCAAGTTCTTTCGAGCAGCAGCAGCAGCAACAATGCAGCTGCTACTTGACTACTTTTTTTTTGTGCAGTTTTTCACTTGATTTGTGTAGCAGACGCTTCAAATTCACCTTTAGTTACCTTCTGGCTAAACAAAAAGTATGAAAGATGAAAAAGAAGAGAGGGAGAGGGAAGAGACAAAAAAGTTGTGTAACAAATTTTCTACTACTTTTACCCACAAACAACCTACTCCACATTTATTACTACCTTTTAGTGGTTGTCTCTTACTTTGACTTTTGTTCAATTCTGTTTTGTCTGCCTGAAAGACAAAGAAAGAGACTGAATGAAGGGGAGGGCGAGGGCGAGCAACGAGTGGCAACTGATTTCTCTGCCCGATAGCACAATTCGTATTTCCCATACAACTTGAAACTTTTTTAATAGATTTCAAATTTTTGCCCTCATCTCACTCTTATACTCTCTAGAGTAATCAAGCAAATTAGTGCTCAATAGCAATGGAGCCAAAGAGAGAGAGAAAGAGAGAGAGCGAAAGTTAAAGGGAAATATGAAGGAAGAGCGCGCGAGCAAAGACCCAAATCCGAATTGGATGCCAACTTTTGACTTGGCCTTTGGGCTGGCTCCCAGGATAATTTGAGCTGTAAATTGTTGACAGCTTTGGGTTACAGTTATATATTTTTTTCCTCCGCTGTCCTTTTTTTTTTTTTTTGCCATTTTGCTGCGTAGACAAATGAAGATAAATGTGCACTGAGCAGCATCAGGCAAAAAGTTTTTAAAAATTTCCTATGCACAAGCTATCGAAATTTAAAGGCGAAAAGTTTCAGTTGGGGTAGTTTAGACTTATAAATAAATTTGTATTGTATTACGTACATTTTTAATTTTGATTATAAAAAGACATTGATTTTTGTGATTTATTTAAATGGACTTTTTTTTAAGATATATAAAAAAAAAAATGATAAAAAAAAAAATAGGTAACTTTGACAATATTATAGTTTTACTTAAACAAAAATTTTTCACTCAATTCAATTTTTGAAGTAAATAAATAAAAATAAAACTATAATACGGTTGCATACGTGCTTAATTTTCTTTCGTTCACTCATAGAATTCATTCCCATTTTTGCTCAAATCTATCCACCACTTAAATGAAATTTTTTTTACAGGGTGTTAAACCTGTAAACTGTAACTGGTATCGAAATAAATGCGATAGTCTTCCTATAAAACGATAGTCGAACTAAAAACTTTCTGTGTGTGCACACACACAGTTTTAGCTGTTGTTGATCTCAATTTTGTTGCTCTTGTTCTTCATTTTCTTCTTCTTGATGATGATGATGAAGATGAATTGCAGTTTGAACTTTGATAGAAATGCACAACATGCTTAGTGTAGTTTTTTTTTGTTTTTGTTTTTTTTTTTTCTGCTTCTCTCTATACTCTCTTGCAACTTAGTTGTTTTTGTTGTTTTCGGTGCAGTTGCAAAAGTTGCTTCAAAGTTTTTAATAAAATTGTTGCACTTTAATGTTTTATTGGGGCGAAACATGTCAAAGGAAATGCAATAATTGTGTCAAATGGGCACTCTCTCTCTCTCTCTCTCTCTCTCTCTCTCTCTCTCTCTTAATGTAACAGCACATTTAAATAGAGAGAGAGAACAATACCAAACCGTAACTAAATACAGCACAAAGGAAAGTGCAAAAGCTAAGAGCGGGTTAAATGAGACAGTTTGAGCTTGAGAGAGAGGGAGCGTGAGGAAGTTTCGCCAAGTTTGTCTCATTGTGCATAAAATGCGAAAGCAAAAACAACAAAAAAGTTCAAATTACGAAATGCAACAAAGAAAGCCAACACAGAAGTCGAGGGGTGCAGGAGCAACAACAATAAAGACAAAGAATTTGCTACATAAAAGAGAAACTTGTAAGGAAGTTAGAAGTCAAAATGAAATGAGCAGAAAATTGCGCTTGCAATACAAAAGTGCGAGAGAGATAGAGGGAAGGCGTTGGAATACGAGTGAACAAACAACAGTTGGAGTAATTATAGCATTACATGAATATGCAAATCAAAATAGGTGTGCATATGGGGTTCGCCTTTTGTTTTGTTTAATTACTAGTCGAACATGATATTTTATTATGGTTATGGTTTATTTAACTTTAATTATGGCCATTCCGGTTCAGGTGTCATCTGTTAAGCTGCTAATGCGCTTAAGCAGAGACCTTTGAGGAAATTTAAAAACAGTTGGAGTTGAGTGAACTTTCAGCTCGAGCAAACCACAAACGGCATTTGTTTAACGGCCGTTCGTAAATAGACAGCGACAAATGGGTCAATTAAGGTAAAGCAGCTAGATTTGAAGCTAGTGGGCACCTGTGCAGTTAAATTGATAACTGGGCGTGTTAAAGGCTTTATTTTGCAACGTAGTTGGGAAACCTTTTAAGTCATTTGCATGCTTAAATTGAAAGTTGAGCATTAAATGTAAAATTCAGAATACATTTAATTTCACTTGAATTTTACCACGAATATCAGCCAAAATATAAGCAACTACAGTTATGTACATATGTAAATGTATGGCTTCGACTTTTTGTTTCTATTGCCTCTCATCAGGCGTATTCAAGAAAGATAGAGGGGAAGTGCGCAGCAGCGGGCGATGTTAAATATAGCCCAACTCCTCTCACATGCTTGGATCACTATACTTGCTGCGCTGCTTGCGCTCTGTATTGATGTGAAGCTTAAAAGTTCTGCTCGCGTTCGGTCTCCCATTTTTCTTTTACAGAGCTTAAGTTCTGCTCCCGCTCTCTTATCTTTCTATGTCTCCTTTACTCTATGACTGTGCGCTTCATACATATGCATAAGCTCAGCTTGCGCTCTCTCCTCGCGCTCTCTCCTCGCGCTCTCTCCTCGCGCTCTCTTCGTGCATTGCAAATTTGCCTGAGATCTGTTCTCGCGCTCTCCTTCTATTACTTCATTCGACTTTGCACGCTATATTATTGCTCAAACTCTACTCCTTGTCTATTACACTCTCTTCCTTGTCTATTGCTCCTTTAATCCTATGACCTGAGTCATCGCTTTGCACTGTGGTCGCTCGCAGTTGACACGAATTTGGATCGTTCATTTGCTCTTCGACGATTGTCAATAAAGGAAGTGGGAGGACGCTGTGCGTGATAAATTTTGTGCCCAAATTTTAATTAGTGCATGTGTAGTCGCAGTGTTTGCAGTGTTTACATGGAAATATTTTAAAAGCAAAGTTGATTTTCCAAATATTTCAATTAACAAGTTTATTTTTTTTACAATTGACAATTGTCCGTGTGCGTCTATTTGCCTCTAGTGCACGATTCTCTTTGTTGTAAATCGATTCGATAGTGTTGGATTAAAAAAGTTACATAAAAAGAAATACAATGTTTAGCAGTCGCACTTCGTTTTTGGGCAATCGCCGCATGATTTTTGATTTCTCTGAGAAAAGCACCGATTTGTATTTGGAGTGAGTATGAAGCTAAAAATCAAATTAAAAGAAATTTCCTTAAATTATTAATGAACTGTAAAATAATTCCTCTTTATGACCTGCGCAAATGGCAAACTGTTTTAACTGTAATTTTACTCATTTTCATCGTATGCTCATTCTCTCTCTCTCCCTTTTTTTGTCTTTTACAGTGCATTTGGTATGAGCGATAAGAGCAGCAGCGCCACCAATAGTCTACCGAATAGTCCTATACATAGCAACAATAACAATTCGTCGCTGCTCAACAACAACAACAGCAGCAGCAACAATAGCAACAACAACACCAACTTGGTGGGCAGCAATAACTCGCTAGCAGGCACCCCCTTTGGTAACGGCAATAACAACAACAGTACCAACAACAACAACGGCAGCAGTAACAACAACAACAACATCATGTCTAGCAGCTTGATGAACAACAACAACAATTCGTGCAGCGCTAATCGCAATGTTGTTGTTAGCATGGACGACGATTCATGCTACCGCCTGGATCCAGACACAGCCGTTGTCACCTACGGCGAAAAGGAGCCCGACCCCGATAACATTAAGATGTTTGTGGGCCAGGTGCCCAAATCGATGGACGAGGCGCAGTTACGCGAAATGTTTGAGGAATATGGCCCAGTGCACTCGATAAATGTGCTGCGTGACAAGGCCACAGGCATAAGCAAAGGTAAGTGCGAAAGGGAAGAAAATAAATATATTATTAATTACAATCTCTAAAATTACAAAATGTATGACAATTGCATAATGCCCTTTTAAAAACTAAATACCCTACACTCAACGGTAAATTCTGCAGTTAACGCACACACAGACGCTCTCTCGCTCACTCTGCACGAATAGCTGCTTAAAGTAAATAAGATAAAATTAGCCATTCAACGCACACAAACACACACACAGAAATATCAGATATTCTCTCAATCTACATCGCTTTAGCATATTGTGTGCTTTGCGTGCGTGTGTGTGTGTGTGTGTGTGTGCGTGTATTTTAATTGCATGTCAAGCGCTTGCCATTTCATTTCATCAGCAAATTGCTTTTTGTTCGCCATTTGCCTTGAAGCTGCCATTCGAGACGGAAACTTTGAATAGTCAACGAAGGAAGATATGAAGAGAAATGAAAAGAAATCCATGTGTGATCTGGAGTTTATTTTTGCATAAAAGCAGCAGTTCTCAAATTGAAGAGTTTGATTTAACTCTCTTGATGATTAGTAGATTGCTCACTTTGCTCTCTATTGTCGCTTTTGTCATTTGCAGGCATTTTAAAAGCCTCTCAACTGCAGCCAAACACATTTCTATTGATGCGCCACAGTGCGGCTTCTCCTCATTCACAGCGGCACTTCCAATTGTGAAAGCCTTTTGTCAAGTCATATTTTTATGTTCATTTCTTTTTCTATTTATATATAAATATATT